AGATTACCAATCTAGCAAGAACCAGAACTCGAAACAAATGATCTTTATTTAATACCAAAAGTGTATTCATCATTTGTGTTCTATTGCAGCTGCAACAAATTAACAAACATGGCTTAAAACAACACATATCTATTATCTCACAGTTTCCATTGGTCAGAAGTCCTGGTGGTCAGCTGGATTCTCTCTAAAACCAAATCAAGGTTTTAGCTTGGTCTGCAGTTCTCATCTGAGACTTGGGATCCTCTTTCAAGTTTAATGGTTGTTGGAAAAATTAGATTCCTTGTGATTGTAGGACTGAAGTCTCTGTCCATTTGTCGTTGCTGTTTTCTGTCCTATGGGATGGCCTCAGCTGCCTGCTGCCACTCTGGTGTCTACACGTGACCATTTCTGTGTTTAAATCAGCAATCATTTGTTGAGTGCTTCACACACTTCAAATCTCTCTGACTTCCTCCTCTTTTGCTAGGTGAAAAAAATTCCCAGCCTTTAGAAAATGCACCTGATTGTTACACAGTAACCTTCACATTTTAAGACCCATTGATCTGCAAAGCCCCTTCACAGCAGAACCTAGATTAGTGTTTGATTAAGTAACAAAAGTCTAAGAGGGGCTGTTTAGAGAATTCTGCCTATCCCATAAAGCCATTTCATCTTAACCACTGAGCAGTGTTTTCACTTTTTAGATCCTATATTTTTTCCTTGAACAGATGCTGTTCTATCAATGCTATCTTTATTATAGGTCTCAAGCTATTGCTTCAGATTTCCCACCTGAAATAACATGGCCCTGAATCCAAATTCCAAAGGGAAAAATTTTCATTTCTGTGTCTTACTCTAAGTGATAGGATTAGAATATTTTAAAGTTTTATATGAGTTTATATAAATTTAACTGAGTTAACCCTTTCTTGTACAGTTCACTTACCTGGCACTTGGCTTAGGCTCTCTTACCAGAATGATCATACTTTTCAGAGTATCTATATTTAGAAAAGCATTTACATAACAGGTACAGCAATAGTGTCAGCATAACTATGCCTAATATCTGTGATTCAGTGTGGGGTAGGGATAGACCTAAGAAAACAGCTAATCCATCCTATAAAGTCGTGACATACACATACATTTTCATGTTTTTGCACTAATCTGATTACCTGCTTCCCCCCTTTATTTGCACCCTGTGATAACCTTATGCAGAATAATTTAGCGTAGATATTAGCTGATGGTTAGTTAAATTAAGTTCTTCCACAAGGCCATCCTTTTCCATTGGTATCACATTCTGAGGAAGTTTGAACCCTATTTTACAATATATTTCATCATGTTTCAATATTGACATATGAGTTATTTACATAAAATAGTTGAATGTTACCAACAATGCCAATGTTATACTGCAGTGTGATCATGGTATAAGCAGTTTCATTCCACAATAAATCAGTAAGAATTAAGAGTAGTATTTGCTATCCCTTTCTAACAGATGTGGCCCATGCTCATACACCAGATTATTATTATTGTTGTGGGAAGTCAGGGACCCCGAACGGAGGGACTGGCTGAAGCCACAGCAGAAGAACATAAATTGTGAAGATTTCATGGACATTTATTAGTTCCCCAAATTAATACTTTTATAATGTCTTACACCTGTCTTTACTGCAATCTTTGAACATAAATTGTGAATATTTCATGGACATTTATCACTTCCCCAATCAATACTCTTATAATTTCCTATGCCCGTCTTTAATCTCTTAATCCCATCATCTTCTTAAGCTGAGGTTGTACGTCATCTCAGGATCCTGTAATGATTGCGTTATCTGCACAGATTGTAGAGCATGTGTGTTTGAACAACATGAAATCTGGGCACCTAGAAAAGGAACAGAATAACAGCAATTTTCAGGGAACAAGGGAGATAACCATAAAGTCTAATTGCCTGCAGGGCCGGGCAAAACAGAGTCATATTTCCCTTCTTGCAAAAACGAATAAGAGAAATATCGCTGAATTCTTTTTCTCAGGAAGGAATAGCCCTGGGAAAAGAATGCATTCCCAGGTGAGGCCTCTAAAATGGCCACTCTGGGAGTGCTTGTCTTATGCAGTTGTAGATAAGGGATGAAATATGCCCTAGTCTCCTGCAGCGCCCTTAGGCTTGTTAGGATTGGGAAATTCCAGCCTGGCGAAATTCTAGTCAGACTGGTTCTCCGCTCTTGAACCCTATTTCCTGTTAAGATGTTTATCAATGACAATGCGTGCACAGTGGGACAGAGAACCTCATCAGTAATTCTAATTTTGCCCTGGCCTTGTGACCTTGCCCTGCCCATTTGCCTTGTGATATTTTATTGCCCTTGAAGCATGTGATCTCTGTGACCCACACCCTATTCGTATACCCCTCCCCTTTTGAAATCCATAATAAAAATTTGTTGGTTTTGCAGCTCAAGGGGCATCATGGAACCTGCTGACATGTGATGTCACCCCCAGAGACCCAGCTGTAAAATTTCTTTCTTTTGTATTCTTTCTCTTTATTTCTCAGACTGGCCGACACTTAGGGAAAATAGAAAAGAACCTACATTGAAATATTGGGGGCTGGTTCCTCCAATATATTGTGGACAAGTATCATTATGATTAGTCATGATTTGGTTATTTCTGGGTTCTAAATCTGTTAGGGACAAATTAAGTCACCCTATCTGGGATTAAAGGCTTTCCACTGAAACTAGTTTCTACTGTGTGCTGTTATATAGCAGGGCCCACCTCTGTCCTCAGGTAAGGGCATGGTGTTTTCAGAATGGTTCTCAGAGCTCCTAATTGTACTACAGCTCACATCTTATTCAGATCTATTCTTGGGGTGAAGGCAGTCATAGTCCATCAGTGAAAATTATCAGTGCCCCAGACAATTTCAATAAGTTATAAGGTCTACAAGGTTCCCTTCAGTGATCCTCTTGTGCCTATGCAGGTAGAATGGAAGGCCATTGGCCCAGGGTTGCTTTTGCTTCTGTCTGCATCACAACAGCCAACAGGGGCTGTGCGCAGTGGCTCACACCTGTAATCCCTGCACTTTGGGAGGCTGGGGCGGGTGGATCAATTTAGTTCAGGAGTTTGAGACTAGCCTGGGCAACGTGGCAAAACCCCATCTCTACTAAAAATATAAAAATTAGCTGGGTGTGATGGTTCATGCCTGTAGTCCCATCTGCTCAGGAGGCTGAGGCAGGAGAATCACTTGAACCTGGGAGGCAGATGTTGCAGTGAGCCAACTTCATGCCATTGCAGTCCAGCCTTGACAGGTGACAGAGCAAGACCCTGTCTCAACAAACAAACAAACAAACAAACACACAAGCAAACAAACCAAAACAAACAAACAAACAAAAACAGCCAGTAAGTCCTGTTGGGTCAGGGCACAAACCCCTCCTGTAACAGTGAGTCCTAGCAGTATCCTGCGTTATTTGCTGAGTCTGTATAACCCATTCCACCTAAGCTTCATTACATTTCTAGGTTGAGTTCACTCCTTTGCCTTCCTCATGGAAGAGAATTCTCTCTTTTTTGCTTATTCTAGTTAACATTTCTCCCCTTCTTAAAGTGAATTCAGCTTATCCCAGGATGCCTAGGTAGGCATCTATTTCCCCTAAAAGCTTTTCTCATCTTGTGGGACAGTCACCATTGTTTTTGTTGTCGAATCAAATGTCACAGAGAATTCTATCAGTGAAATATTTTGATATAAGGGATGGTAGACACTGAGAGGAAATTCATATGCTGTTGTGTGAGGGCTAGAAATGAGCAAGTTGATTTTAAAATTGGCTGAGGAGCACCAAGAAAAAAAATGGAAACAATAATACATTAGTATATAACACTTTAAATTTCAGGAATTAAAAGGAAGCAAGATAGGGTAATACTTTCTGAGATTAGTGAAAGTAAGATAACTTGTGCTCTGAATATCAGAGTAATGTTCAGCTTTAGAAATCCCTGCCCTATCAGTCTACGTGATTCCCTTCTTTACATGGTAAATATTTCTACAGTATAAGGGCTCCAGGCTGGGCTCAGTGGCTTACGCCTGTAATTCCTAGCACTTTGGGAGGCTGAGGCAGGTGGGTCACGAGGTCAGGAGATGGAGTCCATCCCAGCTAACATGGTGAAACCCCATCTCTAGTGAAAATACAAAAATTAGCTGGGTGTGGTGACGGGCGCCTATAATCCCAGCTACTCGGGAGGCTGAAGCAGGAGAATCACTTGAACCCAGGAGGCAGAGTTTGCAGTGAGCCAAGATCATGCCACTGCATTCCAGCCTGGTGACAGAGCAAGATTCCATCTCAAAAATAACTCTAACATATCCTGAGGTTTTGATATCAGTAATTTTTCCTTCTATGTTCTCTTCCAGGCAAAATTATCATCAGCTATCAGCTTAGGGTTAAGAATTACATTTCTGGGTATTCCAGGATAAGATGAGAATGGCTCTCTGAATATATAATTAAAACTAGGGCTTTTTCAATATCAAGATATAAGATGCTTTTAATTATATGGCTGCTAAATATAAAAGAAAACAATTAAAAATCTAAGATCTTGTTAAATCCACTCTTAAAAATTAATCTGTACAAGGTATCTCTGTGCTTGTTTTCATTGAACTGCTGTGCTCCAATTAGAATATTGAGTTGCAAACTTTTATCCTAAGATCTCAGGCTCAAATTAGTGATGGAGTATGAGGAGCCTGCTCTTAATTCCTGTGTAATGGAGAAACCATGAATATTTACAGTCCACTGGCTATTGAGTCATGGCATATTTTAGAAAGTGTCAAAGGAGGAAAAGCCTCACAAGTAAGTACAAAGTGATCACAGGGATTTGACCACAGACATGTCTAATCAGACGCCCCTTGAGACCCCACCCAGTGAGGGTCTCTAAAGTGGAATCAGCTGGAACTTCACTAGTTTTAAGATCTAGAACAAGGGTTCACAAACTACTGTCCCTGGGCACCATTCCAGCAGCCACCTGTTTTTATAAATAAAGTTTTATTGGAACACAGGCACACCCATTTGTTTACATGTTGTCTATGGCTGCTTTTGCCAGAGTTGAGTTGTTTTGATACACAGGTCAAAGCCTTAAGCATTAACCTGTGTATCTTCACAGGAAGAGTCACTAACTATTGATCTTGAGGATGTGTACTATGCTCTTATTAACTCAGTCTGACTTAGCTACTATTGGTACAAACTCTGCTAGTATCGACCATTTCCAATATTAGAAATAGATTTACAGTAACATCAACGATAAATAAGCCATTAAAAATTTTAGACATTTTAGTGGGTATATAATACTATCTCATGGTGGTTTTGATTTACAATTCCTTGCTTACTATTGGTGGAAAGCAGCATTTGTATGTTTATCAGCCACTTGCATTTTCTGTAAGATTATCTGTTCATATGTTTTGCTAATTTTATAAAATTTGGTTGTTTATATTTTTGATTGTTGATTAAAGGAGTTCTTTCTATGTTCTGTATAAACAGTTCCATTTCTGGGTACATGTAGTTTCCAGAGGATCACTTGGTTTGTGGCTTGCATTTCTTCTTTCTTAATGGCGACTTTGATGGGCACAATGATTAATGTGAAGAGGTCCTATATTTATCAAACTTAAACATTTTACATCTAGAGATTTTTATGTCTTCTCCGTGAATTTATGCCTATCCAGGATTATAAATGCATTTACCTATCTTTTCTAAAAGATTTATGTCTTCAGTTTATATGTATAGATCTACAGTATTCCATTTTAAGGTAGCATTTATTCTAGCAGAAGACAAAAAAAAAAAAGCCTACTTACATATTTTGCAGGGAACAAGGCTCCCTCCCCATGGTTCCCTTTGAGATGTTTCATGTCAGTCTCTCCTTCCTCAGTGCCCTCCTCAGGGCTCCCTTGACCTCTGCATTCCTCAGGCTATATATCAGGGGGTTCAACATTGGGTTGAAAAGGCTGTAAAACAGGGAAAGAACTTTCTGCTGCTCCTCAGGATGGCGGGAATTTGGGGCCATGTACATGACAATGGCACTGCCAAAGAAGAGTCCCACCACACAGAGGTGGGAGGAGCAGGTGGAGAAGGCCTTTCTGCGGCCCTCCCCAGACTAGATCCTCAGGATGGCCACCAGGATGCATGAGTAGGAGACCAGCACCAGGCAGAGCGGCCCCACCAGGATGAACACACAGGCTGCAAAGATGACCACCTGGTTGAGCCAGGTGTCAGTACAGGCCAACTTGAGGACAGACAGGATTTCGCAGAAGAAGTGGTTGATTTCATGAGGCCCGCAGAAGGGCAGCCTCAGGATGAGAACTAAATGGACCAGAGCCAGGAGGAAGCTGAACACCCAGGAAGCCACAGCCAGGACAGTGCACACTCTCCAGCTCATGAGGACGTTATAACGTAGGGGGTGGCAGATGGCCACATAGCGATCATAGGACATCACCACCAAAATCAGGCACTCTATGTGAGCAAAAGCCAAATACAAGAATGTCTGCATTATGCATGGCAAAAAGGAGATGGTTCTTTTCTTGTTCATAAGATTTGTCAGCATCTTGGGGACATTGTTGGAAGCATAGGACATGTCAACAATGGCCAGGTGTGAGAGGAAGAAGTACATGGGGGTGTGAAGCTTACAGTCCAGGCAGATAATCCCAAAGATGACCCCATTCCCCAGCAGGGTGAGTGTATAGAAGACAGAGAAAAGTCCACAGAGGAGAATCTCCAGGGCTGAACCAACCTGGAATCCCAGCAGGGTGATGTCTGTGATCCATGTCTGGTTGCCTTCCATGCTCTTGTGGCAGAGAAAGATAAATCCTCAACTAGGAGAGGAAGGTCAGGGCTGTGGGCCAAAGATGCACAGAGGTGGCACTTAAAAACTAAAACTTTGAATGGATTTTCTAGAATATATTCTCAGGTAATGTTGCCAAAACTAACCAGGTGTGCTCATAAAAATGAGAAAAAAATCACATTGTATCAATGGAATAGTAAGAATACATACATGTATATGTGTATATATATTTGTGTGTGTATGCATACATGTATGTAACATTTAATAAAGTATAACATAACAGGATCTATTATAATATACCCTACATAAGAGGATACACATGCACGCATGTGTTATTTTGAAGAACTCAAGTATCCTTGCTTCCCTTTCAGTGGGAAATCTTGATTTTTACATAGTTTGAGAAGAGAGGACCATGAGAAATGTTGCAATATGAGGTGGTTTTGCTTGCTCGTCCTGCTTGCCTTCTCAGTCTGAGATGTGCAGGGACCGGTACCCTCTGTTTGCCATGGGCTTGCTCACTGTCCCTCAGCTCCTTACAGGCTTTTCTACCCACTTATTTCCGATTTGAAATCCCTTCTAAATAACTTTCAATTTTGTAGTTTCTTTAAAACTTTCTAAGATGCTCCTTTTCAGAAGCTGGCCAGTACTCCCTAGCAGCTCCTTTAGGTGCCTCTTTTCCATATCTGGTATTTGTAGTTTTATTTTCAGAGTTTTCCTCACTTCTTCATCAGCATCTGTTATTGTAAATTAGGCATGGGTGAAAGAATTCTTGGCTACATACAGTGAATACATGTATGTATCTTTAAAATAACTCAGTATGGTGTCATTTCTGAGGTCTTTTAAATAATAAACTCAAAAGAAAAACCAATTTACATTAAGTGGTTACATTTAAAGATTACTGCTGTATTGTTATTGTATTTTCTTGGGCTCTTTTCTTGATTATAACTTAATACGTTGACATCTCTCAGAGCTTATCCTACTTTCTAGTGTGACAGAGCCTTTTGTCATCAATATATTCGCAGCTATGGCAACTTGGGTTGCTGTCGGTTCCCCTAACTGCATTCTTCTCCATCACCTGTGACCATGCCAGCAGCCCTGTTGCTGCTCAGATGGATCCTGAGCAGGTGACAGGGATAGGATCAGGTGAAGTTCCAGCTGGTGAGCTTTTTCTAAGGAGCTCTTCCTGGAGGGCTCCGGGTCTGTACAGCCAGCAGGGGGAGACCAAAGGCCATAAGAAGGATGGATAGTGTCATCAGGTGGAGAAACCATATGACCTGTTGCACTTCACATTTATTCCAGAAACAGCCTGAGGACTATCTTTATTTTCAAATCAGGCTAAAGGTTCAAATCTAACAGGATAACTTTAAAAAACAATTCTGATTTTTTTTAATTTAGTAAATACATAGATCCTCAAATTTATGTATTAAAATAGGACATTATACTGAGTATTTTAAAATTACCAGTTTTCACTTAATATAATACTTTTCATGTATTGAAATTAGATTTAATGGACATTATTTTAAAGCCACACAATATTCTGCCACAATTTATTGAATTTCTTACTGTTGGAAATTTTTGTTCTTCTTATTTTTATTGGCAGTGAGATACATTTTCTCTTAAACTTAAAATTTGCCTATATTCATAATTATTTATGAGAACATATTTTAAAAGTGAAATTGCAGATGCTAAAGATACAGAGATCTCAAAGGTTTTTATCCCTATTTTAGCTTCCATCTAGAAAATTTGATCAATTTCAATTCCCTCCCACAGTGTGTAAGAATCATGTCTCTTTGCCACATAGTCAGTACTAGGCATTACCAATTACAGTCTCTGTTAATTTAATAAGCAAACAATATTATGTAATTTATATTTGTATTTCATACATCCCTTAAGGAATGATCCTTGAGTGCATGATCTGTTTCAGCCACTGTTCTAAGCTTTAGAGGCACAGCTGTGAATGATGTAAACACGTTCTGAAAGGGAGGCCGATTATAAAGAAGTAATATTAAGGTGATGTACTTTTCTTCCACACCTCACATTTCTATTTAGGGAAGGAAACCTCTATGCCCTGGATAAAATTGTTTTAGAGTATACCTGCCTCTCTCTGTCCCCTAATTTATATGATTTGTGAAACACGGAAGAGAAACTGAGGATGACTTTTCTCCGTTCTCCGTTTCACTCGCATGCATTTCTGTCCGCTTGGGATTAAGGTATCGGGAGCATGTTCAGTCCCATTTGGAGGTGGGGGAGGGGTGTCAGCTAACGGTTGTGATTTTAATTTGGAGAGAAACTTTGTTGAAAATGTAAACCATGCTTTTCAACAGACCTTATTAATAAAATATCTTTTCGAATTATATCTGATTCTTTTTTGTATTATTCAACTTATTTTTTTCCGGACTTGGAACAGAGAGAGGGCATGATTCATTATCACCCTAAAAGACCAGGAGTAAACAAGTAAAGATAATCGCTGGCCGTGAAAGGAACAATGAAGGAAATAATCTAGATAAAATAACAGAAAGTTACTTGATTTGAGGGGGGTCTCCTTTAGATAGGATGGTTGGAAAAGGTCTCTCTTAAGAGGAGACAGGTGAGTGGAACCTAAACCGTGAAGGCCACAACCCTGCCCAGAGCCAGAGGAGGACTGTTCTCTACACAGGGAACAGTAATGGAACAGTAAATGCAAAGACTCTGAACAAGAAGCAGTTGGTGAGTTCTGGGAAGAAAAAGAAAGAAACACAATGTACCTGAACCACAGTGAGCAAGAGATGGTACTTATTCTTTGTAACCTTGTTTATATTTTTAACAATCTGAAATTGATATAAAAATTCATAAGTTTAGCTGATAAATATACTTGTGACTTTATAATAATTGATTTACTTTTAGATTCATGAAAGCAAAATACAGTTAAAAGATATGTACAGAACTTCCAATGAGCAGATATTTGAAATAGGAAACTGTTTAATTTTTTGCACAACATAATTTTCATGCCAGAATGGTAGTTGCCAATTTTTCGACACAGCAAATGTTATGTTCATGTCCCAATGAATCAAGCTGAAAAGGAGAAGGCTTTTATCCTTGAGACCTCCAGGGACATGGATATTTTGCATATTTTTAGTCCCTTCTGGCTCCCATCTGTGGTGTACACATCTGTGCTCCTACTATTCCAAGGCCAGTGACCTAAGTAGCTGGCATTTGGATGCTTCAGCAGTAAAAATAATCCAGTCATTACCAAATTAATACAACTGTTTGGTTAATCTAAATTCATAATTAAGTAAATCTGGGTTTATAGTTTTATTTGTAATTTTTGTAAAGTGTAAGGAATTTCAAGGAAAAAAGTCCCAGCAGCCTAGATTAAACTATTTCTAAAGAGCAGGAATCAAGAAAGAAACAAATAGAATTCTTAGCGAAAGTGAAATTTAACCAGATGTGAACTACATCCAAACTGTATAAAACTCCAGCTATCAGTTGTGCTTTTAACAGTTGTGTACAAGAGGCCACAAGGAGAAAAGTCTATAATGGTGGCTACCTACACACAGAAATTGTCAATCAGTTCAATTGTGAAGTTAAGATCAGTAAACAAATACATAGTATAAGAGGAAAATAGATTTTTTCCTTTTATTTATTGGCATCCTTTTGTATTTTAGATTTCACAGTTCAAGGAGTCAGACTTTTCTTTTAGAAAAAGCCTGTGGCGGGTTCAATAAAGAACCAGATACCTGAAAGGAAGATTTATTTAGGCGTCCACTCCAGTTACACATTACAGAACAATCTTCAGTGGATGAAATAAGGGAAAAAACTGCATGGATACATTTTTCTGTTCTTAAAGAGCAAAGCAAATTTAGCAGTGACAGAAAAAAATACGATATCTGAATAAGAATGAAAGCAACAGGAGTAACAGTGTTGGCCAGAACACTATTCCAGTCTTGACTCTGAGCAATGAACATGACGCATTTGAGTCACGTATTCTAAGGCTCATTATTGTCAAATGTAAAATGTTGACCACAGATACCAAAAGGACTGATGTGAAGAAGAAGTACCATCGCACTGGTACATTATAGGAATTTAATAAATTTTAGCTGTTACTAATAATATTAAAGAGATTGTAAAATTGAGGGAAGTATTAAAGCATAGGGATTGGAAATCCAGTGCAATCATCATGGTGTTGCAAACACTTTCATGTTTATCTTGCTTTTCTTTTTGGCTGTTTTTGAGTTTAAACATAAGACGCACATTTTGCTTTGATTTCCTAATAGAAATGTTCCTATATTTTGACTTTTAATATTCAAAAGCAATTTAAAGAAATAGAAGACTCCTTTAAAGTAACCACACTCCCTGACTGAAGAAAAAAAAATACAGGCTGTAAAAGTAAAAGGTCAATCCCACCATGCTAAATATCCCAATGATAGAGAGAGGATTAATTTTTTGGAAAGAAAAGGGGGGCATATTTAGGGTATTTAGCACTGACACAAAAGAAAAGTTTCTATTGAAAACTGTCTTAGAATGGGAGCCCTGGGGCCACCAGCAGTGGGGCTGTGGGGCCGCACTGATTTGTCAAATCTTTGCAATTACTCAGAAATAACTTGCCATCTCCAATAATATACTTTGACACTGAGCTTAGTCCTAGGGAGCAGCCTAGTTTTGTTTTGTTTTGTTTTTTTGAGACGGAGTTTCGCTCTTGTTGCCCAGGCTGGAGTGCAATGGCGTGATCTCTGCTCACTGCAACCTCCGCCTCCCGGGTTCAAGCAATTCTCCTGCCTCAGCTTCCCGAGTAGCTGGGATTACAAGCATGTGCCACCACACCTGGCTAATTTTGTATTTTTAGTAGAGACGGGGTTTCTCCGTGTTAGTCAGGCTGATCTCGAACTCCCGACCTCAGGTGATCCGCCCGCCTCAGCCACCCGAAGTGTCGGGATTACAGGCGTGAGCCACTGCGCCCAGCCGCAGCCTAGTTTTAAAAACAAACGAACAAGCATGGATTCCCGAGCCCTGCAGCCTGGGTTCAGATCCTGGCTTTGCTGCATACTAGTTTTATGACTTTTCTGTGCCTCTTCACGCCTCAGTTTCCCCATCTAGAAAATGGGGTGAGTAATAAATTCTGTCTCATAACATAGTTGTGAGGATTAAATGCATTAACTCCCATAAGAACTTAAGTTTTTTAGATATGTAATTAGGGATATGAGAACCATCATTGGTGAGAATATCTGAATCCAATTATCATAGGGAGACATGTTATGTTCTCAGTGGTTCCTCTGCTAAAATCAGAGAAAAAGGAAAAGAGAACCTGTACCCTGACGGGCACTGGCTTTTCCCTGTGAGTGAATGGTGCCTGTGTCCAGAACAACTGAGAAGGGGGTCTTGTCTGGCGACACAATGCTTCTGAGAATGTGCAGGACTAGGCAGTTAGCAGAGGGGCAAGGGGGATACATCCCTGGGTAAGCAAACCGCTTAAAAACTCTGCTTCAGTTTTTAAAATTAGCATTATTTGTAAAAAGAGGCACCTGAGCCACGTAACCCCTGACAATCACTGGAGCCCTTTAGCCAGGTCATTTCCTACAGGAATGGCTATCTGATCCTCTTCTCTGGCACACTGATGACAAAACCAGGAGCCGCCACAGGGTAATGAGGGGATATAGATGGAGGGGCCGAGAGGGTCAGAGGTACATGTCCACATCCTGGGTAGACGATGGTCCCTAGAGGGCCCCTCAGGACCCGAGCTATAAATACAGGCTTAAAGGCAGAAGGAGACCACGCCGCAAGGGCATTTCATTATCAGTATCTGGAGCCAGTGATTTCATTCACTGCCCCTTTCCCATTCCCATCTGTAAACCCCTTCTCCAGGCAAATGCACCACATTTACTTACAGTGAATAATCTGTGGTCTTTTCTTCTAATGTACCTTTGGGCTTGCTAGGAACCTCAAAGACAGGAAAGGCAGAATAGATAGACTGGGATTGATTCTCCTCTCTAATGGGGACTCCTTGGGAGGTGAAGCCCAGACACAAAGCTCTCCTGAACTTTATGATACAATTAATTGTGTAAGTCAGGCTTTTTCTATCATTATTTGACTAGACACTCACTCCCTGCAGAGAAAAATAATGATTCAGAGAACAGAACCCGGTGGTAATACTTCTAATCATATCTCTCTAGAGAGAGTAAAGAATTTGCTACTTTCCTATTAACGGGCGAATCAATGAAGGCATTGCCCATGTTTATTCATTTTGTTCTTTCAGCATTCCCATGGGATGTGTTATGTGTGTTTACTGGGGATTGGACAGGGACAGAATTTCTGTTAAAAGACAAGACTTTTGCACAGAAGATTTAAAAACCAAGATCATGCCGTAAATTAATTTCTTTCAATGGTTATTCTGTCGATCTTAAAACTGTTCCACTCTCTAATTCCTAGTTTCACTAGAGGAGAGGCAATGACCTCTTGGTCTCTGCTGGTTAGAGATCCCTGAATTCTGTTAGGCATCACCTCAGAGAAATTGCTTTCTCTCAATAGAGAAAATGTCATTGTAAAAGAACCACTCCAAATTTCTCACAAATGTTATTGACCTGGTAGTTCAGGTATACTTCATCTTCTTCCTTGAATTTCTTCAGTGTGGCTTCCTTCTCAAGCATTTCTTAGCCACATATTTATTTCCTCACTGTGGGTTAGTGCCTACAGATAAAATGGGCATACTTTTCCTTTCTGTATCCTTTTTTTTTTTTTTTTTTGCACTAAGTGACAAAGTTTGATGATTGTAAAATCCTTCCAGTTCTTACCCTCTGAGTGTCTTTTCTTAACATAGATCTCAATAGAGGTTTAGTTCTTAAATTATGGTGGAGGGAGCACTTCAAAATAATAGTAAATATTATTACTTCAAATAATAGTAATATATTTAACCTATCATAGAGAACAGTAAAAGATATATCCAAGGGGAGTATAATTGGAATTATTTCTCTTTTAACATAATCTATGTGACCAGTAGAGGCTTCCTCTACTTACCTCATTATTCTCCAAAGAACATACTCTACTTCATTCAAGTACTACCCCTAGCAGCTCCCAGTCTTGAAATTCTTATTCCTTATTTCAAGACATTAACTGTTCTACCCACTTAACTTCATACTTAATACCGATTCTGCAAAGCACTCTTGGAGCCCTCTTCACCAATCCAACCCAAATTGGGCTCCCTTGTGAAACAGAACATAACATTTACATTTAGCATGCTTTCAGGTTGTACATAAATAGCTTTTGACTCTCAGTGTTTTTATCATTAATGTTTTCTAAAAGGTTACCATAGAAAAATTAATTTGATCACCAACATTTGGATAAAACTAAGGAAAATATTTTGGTGAATATTAATTCAAATATACATAATTAGTACAATTTTTTTCTGACATGGACAATATCATGACATTGAACAGAGTCTACTGTGGATATAAAGAGGTGTCATGATATGGCTCTCTTTTTATCTTTCAAATTTTAAAGTGGATAGAGCAAAAATATTCTTGTCTTAGACATTTTGTGAGCATTATTAACATTTATATTGATTAATACTTTGTATTTTAGCAAGAATAAATATGAGGAAGCATACTTGGCTCCATCAGTAGTGATGAGCTTGAGGAGAGGAAAGATCACCTGGTGGCCATCCAGCAGACCATCTGGAGGCAAAGCCCCTTATCAAAGGAACTCACAAGTAATTAAACTGCCTGTAATCCCAGCACTTTGGGAGGCCAAGGCGGGTGGACCACGAGGTCAAGAGGTCCAGACCATCCTGGCCAACATGGTGAAACCCCATCTCTACTAAAAAAATACAAAAATTAGCTGAGCATGGTGACACACGCCTATACTCCCAGCTACTCGGGAGGCTGAGGCAGGAGAATCGCTTGAACCTGGGAGCTGGAGGTTGCAGTGAGCCGAGATCGCACCACTGCACTCCAGCCTGGGTGACAGAGTGAGACTTTGTCAAAAAAAAAAAAAAGAAGAAGAAGTAATTAAACTTCCCTATTATCTAAAGCCACATCTAGTATCAGGCTTCTTTACAAGAATTTATAAGTAACCAGAATTTCTATACATCTCTGGAATGCATGCCTGTCAAAACTCATTGTGCAATCCTTGCTGACATCATGGCCCATAATATCTACAAATGTCATCATTTACCATGGCCTACGTGACTAACATGGTCCAAACTCCTGCTTTAAGGTTCATAAATAACACTAAGGAAAATCTGCCGTGGTGTGCTCAGTCCTCCTGCTGAAGTCCCCGGCTGCTGCACTCTGATACAGCGTTCTATCTAATAAAACTTTCCCTTTCAAACCTATACTGTTGTCGGTAATTTATTTTACCACCCATGAGCCAACCACTGTCTGCTGCCAAAACTCTGACACCTCACCCAGCAGAACCTTTGTCAATGAAGGTCAATTTTGAAATAGAAGTGCTTGCTAACTACTATTAAAGATAATACCTACAGCTTGGCCTAAATTTTCTTTAAATATTTTGCTATTTCTGAGACATACAGAAATACTTTCTCCACATGGCTTGAGTCTTTTATTTCTTTTCTTTTATTTATTTTTTTTAAGTCCACTTGTCACATAGAATTTCAAGGGATAGTTGAGGAAGATAAAATAAGCAATGATAATGATTTTGAAATACTGAGGGCTGTTCTCACTATAACTTCTGTCATTGCACACCCTTTTAACCTTATAAAACGTTTGTAGGATATGCTCCATCAAAACAAAGGAGTAAACCAAGAGAGAGGATGGCATGAGGTCAATGAACTAGGGAGTCGAACTCAGAATAAAGGCAGATGGAATTGCTAGGATGCAACCAGTTTAGATAGAAGAAGCCTAGAAGTCCACTGAGCAATGTCTGCAAGTAAAAGTCCTAATGGATATATTATTTGAGGTGGCAGAGGGAGATTGAGTGGATACATTATTTGAGGCAGCAGAGGGGTGTATATTCAAGTTTTATCATGAGATTGCAGCCATTCAATCAAATACTTAGGCTCCACTTCTAATTCTAGTTTTCTTGCTATTTCCACCACATCTGTAGTTCCTCCACTGAGTCTAGAACCCCTTAAAGTCATCTGACAGAAAGACTTAACAATGGGCATGAAGAAACCAAGCATGGGGGGAAAAGGCAAGCAATTAGCATTATCATTATTATTTGCAGCTATAAGCATTCTAATTAATACACATTTCCTGCCATAAAGGCAAGAGTAAGAAAATATTGGCCAAATAAAGGGTTTGTTGTTGTTGTAGGTTTTTTTGCTTTTTAACCTCATTACCATTGCTGATGTGTTGTATATTAATGTGCTTCAAAGGGGAGGAGGAGAGTTGCTTTTCTTTCTCACAGTATCAGACTTCTCCTGCACTGCCTCCCCTTTATTGGCCTTATTAGTGAGACCACAGGAGTTGGAGAGTTGGTGCTGGCAACCAGTATATCTCTCTCTTTCTCTCTCTCTCTCTTTTTTCCCACTAAGGGAGTAAGTGGCAGAAAGCCTTTTTATTTATTTATTTTAAAATCTGTATTTTAAATGTTCAAGAGTCTGTGTTCTTCTAAATAAGAATAAAAGTAAGAAAATAATATGAAATTTATAGTTAATAAGGGGCTAGCATGATAAATCTACATTTTGCCTAAAAATAAACAACTGAGTTATATCAAGACCATTTTCTTCAATGCTAGTGTTAATTTAGTGAAATAGAATTAACTCCAT